AAAAAGAAAATGTATAATAACATCTGAAGTCTCTTTTCACAAACTAGGGGGAAATATTTATGATTCTAGTCACAGAAAAAGAGGCCAATGTCATACATGATGATATATGACAAACTGAATTATTGCTTTGTTGTGCATGTCTTGGGAGAGCGGTACCAGGCCATCACTGAAGAAGAAGGCCTGGGATGAAGACAAGGCTCGTCTCCACCTCAGCCTGTGTATCTGCTACATTCTCTTTTAATAACAAAGTACGAGAATATGCGACTTTGCGCTTCCTGTTAGACATTAAAGGAAAGAGTAGTCAAGGAAGAAGAACTCTCAATACCAAGCGCCATTTTTTAAAGTAACAGCAAAGCTCTGTGGAGGATTATGTTTAAATAATCTATAATGACAGAAATCCATCCATAGAAATATTTAAAAGAATTTCAAAGAAAAAAAATAAGATTGATTCATTCCCTGCCGCACTCATATTAAAACAAAGTTGAACCCAGGAGGTCATAAAGTTCTGAGGATGTCACCCCCATCACTAATGAACCAAACAACAAAAAAATTTAAAAAGATGTTTATAGGAAACTAAACTATTATAGAATCCAATGGGCTAGAACTGGACCATGCAATTTTTTTTTTAATGTAGAAGTTGTTACCTATCTTGCGGCAAAGAGCTAGCAACATTCAAGCTAGTTTCCATGCAATCCTTACAATAATGTGACTGGTCTGACTTTGTCAGTCTTCCTGTGAGGCAAGGCCCATCCTATGCTGGCTAGAAAATAAATTTGAAAATCGTACTCACTTTACCTGTAGCACAAAAAAAAATGATTTTTTTTGATACAGGAACGCAAGCGAATCTTAAACATATGAAAAGATGTTTAACTTTCTCCAGGAGAAGACAAAAATACTAGCTGGAAATACCATTTCCCCAAATAAAGGCTGGAAAAAACTCCCAAACCCTTTCCGCTACTCTGCTGGTGAGATGGCAGGGGAGCCGCTCTTCCATACTGCTGGCGGGCACAGACTGCAAATAGCAGAATATACATCTCCCCTTTGATAGCACAACCCCGCTCTTAGGCCTCTTATATCAATGCTACGAAAGCCATAAACACATGTATGCACACACTCTATTTGTTGTAATAAAAATATAATGTTCATAAATATTTGCAATATCTACAATAAAAAATGAAAACTAAGTGTTCCCCTGTAAGGGAAAAATAAGGTATATCCACACAGTGGAAGTCAGGAGTGCTATTTTTTTAATGGAAGAAATATCTGAGTGTTGCTAAGGAGTGATCTACAGACAGCATGTAAGGCAGAGGGGAAAATCAAGGTGAAAAAAATGTGTGCTGTATTCCTGAGAAAGGGAGGATGTACATGTATTCTCTATATTGGCATCGCTGTTCCTCTCCATACATGTTTTTATAATGGGGGATTTAGGTACAGGGGTTTCTCTATAGGAGGGAAAAGAATATTGAAGATAGTGGGGACAAGCACTATATATTACATTCTTTGAATGTAATTTGTCTTACAGTTTTGACGCTGGATTCATTTTAGCATTTAACATAATTACAAAACAAATTTAAAAGTCATGTAAAGGTAAAAACACAGGAGGAATCAGTGACCTAAGTGTGCAGTCACTGTACATGACTCTAAATCCCCATGGGGACACACTGAACTATAACACACACCAGGAGCTGGACACTGCTGTCAGTCACCATAATTCAGTGATGACGCTAGTATCCTAATTACCCTGGTGTGTGCACTGTGAGCTAAGACAAGGGAGTACCTATGCTGATGTCACTCAGTCACAGGATTCTGGACGACAGGAAGCCACAGCAGTTGCTAGATTAGTGACTTGGAGGAACCATTCCTAGCACTGAAGATGAGCTGGAAATGCCAACATAAATAACGTTGTAGTTTTATGCACTTTTCGAAAAAAAGTGTATATTCATCTAGGTCTAGAAACAGTGACCAGCCTAGTAATAATGAACACACCGAGAGGCAAGAGTGTAACTGTTACAGGGCAACCCAGATATAAAACAGGTTGCCTGACTGTGGGTCCTCATCTGCGTGCTTAAAGGAGACTTAAACTGCAGGCACACACAAAAGGTTAATCAAAGGTTTATTTACAAGGGAAGGGGAAATGAGGAAATGAACAACTCAGGGAAAAAAAGAGGGAGATAAATTCTTAAATATGTCCTACCTGTTGTGCCGACCTGGAATCCCAAGTGACCCTCCGACACTGACACCAGACCTATCTGTCCAAGAGCACGAGCCGAGAGAGCGAGACCCGCTCACATGGCTGGTTATAGTCACAAGCCAGAGAAAAATGGCTGCTTAACTCCGCCCTTAGGTCCTCACAACCTCCCTTTGGGGATCCTGGGATTTGTAGTTCCCAGTGTCTTGATGGAGTGGGGGTGGCATCCACAAAGCCTGTATGGAGTTTGCTCAGGACATCCTTTCCCCTAACATAACTTCTACAACTATTTCCTGTTAAAGGAATCAGGGCTCCTTAGAAAAATGGCCAATTCCAGGTCACTGGCAAGAATCAGAAGAAAAGTCCAGGATATCTTGTTCTGCAGAAAGCCTGGCTAATGTGTGCAAGGGGTTCATTGTAATATTTTCCTTTACTTCATATGTTTGACAACTTCCATAACAAAGAAGGTTTACAAATTTAAAAAAAAGAGAGAAATAAATGTTTTTATAAGGGCCTTGAGTGTGAATAGACAATTTGAAAGTGGAATTTAGAATTGATTCATAGATATAGTTTTGTGAAACAAGAGGGTTCTCAGTACAAAATTATCAATTAAAATATTAAAAATGGAATCTCCAAATCTTCAAAATGTTTCCCTGACTTTTGAACCCATTTGCTAAAACTACAAAAGTGTGATACCATTCAATGAGCTTTCCTTAAAAAAATGCACATATATAATGTCCTCAACGACTGACACATACATTATGCAAATCTTAATAAAAATATTTCATTGTTGTCAGATACAATTAAAAATGAGTATCATAATTCACAAAGTTAACAATGCAAATAACCCATTCCTTTTGAATCTGTGCATAATTTTGAGGTAGATTTTTCAACTATGATCAATTAAAACTAAGTACCAAAATAAATTGAACTTAAAACCTCATCATTGAACCAAGGAATCATACAGTTTCAAACCACAGTTCAAAATCAATGAAGCATCTGCTGTCATTCTCTATGCATATATACATTATACCTGTGAGTATGTAATGAGGTGGGAAATCCCCCACTTCACTTCACAATGGGGCGATGATCTAAGCATAAGAGCAAAGCTGTCAGAAAACACGTGGAAGCTACTCTTCCTGACCTCATATTTGGTCACAGAGTCCTACATTTGACTCCAAAACACAAGCAAGCAGAGAAAAGAAGTAAATTTGACTTCATCAAAATTAAAAACTTTTGTGTATTAAAAGATGTTAAAAAGAAGACAGCACACAGAATGGGTAAAATGTCTGCAAACAATATACCTGATAGAAATTTTGTATCCAGAGTGTATACAGAACTCTGGTAACTCAGCAATACAAAGACAAACAACCCAATTGAAAAATGGGCAAAGGACTTAGCTATTTCTACAAAAAGCTATACAATGGCAGACAAACACGTGTGAAGATCTGATATCCTGGATACGCAAGATACTGGAATTGTTATTGGAAATGCAATTAAAACCACACTGAAATACCACTTCACACCTAATAGGATGGTTACTCACAAAATAGGAAAATAGCAGGAGTTAGTGAGGATGCAGAGAAACAGCAACCTTTGTAAGTTGCTGATGGGCATGCAAAGTGGTGCAGCAACTATGGAAAATAGTTTGGTGGTTCCTCAAAAAGTTTAACATAGAATTGCCACACCACTGACTGATCGCACTCCTGGGTATATATGTAAGAGAAAAAAAAAAACAAAACAAAAACTTCTCCACACAAAAACCAGTACACAAACGTTTACAGCTGCATCAGTCACAAGGCAAATTTTGGAAACAATGCAAATGCACATCATCAATCAACGTATGAATGGAAAAAAGGCAGCATAGCCACACAATGGAATATTACACAACCACGAAAAGGAACAAAGTACTGACACATGCCACCACTTGCATGGACTTCAAAACAGTATGCTAAGACACAAGTAACATATTTTGTGATTCTTTTCATGTGAAATATCTGAACTTGGCAAATCCATGAGTCAGAAAACAGACTAGTGGTTGCCAGGAGATAAGGACAAGGGAGAATGGAGTGTGGTTATCGTGGCCAAGGGAGATTATTCTGCAGTGCTGAAAAAGTTTGAAACTAGAAGAGGTGGGTGGTCATTGCTTAACAATATGCATCCATGAGATGCCACTGAATCATGCCCTTTAAAATGATTAATTGAACGTCACACCAACTTCATCTCAATAAAAACAATACACATAATAGTAGTATCATAGTATTAACAGTGCATATAACAGCATTAATAGTGCAAGCAAAGGGTATTTTATAATGGTGAAGGTAAAATATATTTAAAATATTGAGTATTTTAGCTTTATTTCATTCTTTAATGTTTTATGCATGTTCTTTCATATATATTGTGTCTATGGGCAAAATTCTTAGCAATGGGGAGCACAATTTAAAAAACTGGGCAGTACTGTGCTAAATCCAGTATAATAAATTTATACCTTGCAGGGTGAAGCCATCAATGAACTTTATGTACTTTAGCCAAAAAATATTTAAAAATTTATTTCGATGTCTTTATGCAGGTCCTATATTTTCTAATTCAACACAACTCCTTCATATCCTACTCCTTTATATTTTTTGTTATCCAAAAATTAACATTTCTTGCCAACCAATGGACAAACAGATATTTGAAAATACAACTTCTTAGGTAAACCTATGTCAACCCAAGCTTAGTGAATCCAAAAGTATGTGGACCCAATTACATCGACACTTTTCCTTCTGTTCTTAATTAGCAGTAGAAATGAGGGAAAACGCGCTAGACTCACCCACGCAAGGCAGCGAGTATCCCAGCTCGGGGTCATGGAGGAACTGCCGGTCGTTCAGCCTGGTCACGCAGTATAAGTGGAAACAGTCCAAGCAGATCACGTGGCGGTCGCTGCACTGGAAGACCAGGACGGGGCTCCTGCGCGGGCAAAGACAGACACTGCCTTTAGTACTTCTCAGGCTGGAAGGGCAGCGCTAACCCTAACCCTTTCTGTAACCCTCGGAGGCACTTAGGGCACCTCTGAGTGAAGGCCTGTGCCCCTAGCCTTGCTCTCACACCTGCTGAGGCTACATCTTCAAAATCGCTCGTGCCCCATAAATAATAACAAGCACTGGTCTTCTTACTTTTACATTTTCTATGGTAACACATTTGCTACTCAGCTGTTAAAACCCCTGCTCAGATACAACCTCTCTACAAGCCTCCCTTGACTCATAATTTAACTAACCTATTAACCCCCCATCCACATATGTGTGTGCACGTGTATATTTCTATAGATCCACTGCTCATCGTGGTGCCAGTATGTGTCTGCTCTTATAGACAGTGATCTTGAAAGTAGACTGTGGCTACATTTCATTGATATTCTCATAGTGCCTGCAATGTAAGTTCCTAAATAAATGTTTCTTAGATTTAATTATAATATATGGAATCTGAATTTCCCCAAAGTCAGAAGAAAAATTACTCTTGCACCAAAGTAGTATATTAAACAGTCACTCATATTTCACTAGCAAGTAGAAAAGTAGAATTTAGATATAAAATATTATCCAGCAGAGATTCTTCTACACAATATTGTCTCTTGTGCCACGCCCATGCCAAGCAAATGTGCAATTTCTTAAATTCAGTTTTGGAGATTACTAATAAATTGATATGTACAGCTTCTAAAAAGTTTAGATTCCCCTAAAATGCTCTATGGAAAAAGCACTTCCTGAAAGCCATGCATTTTTGCTAGCAAATAAATCACAGGAGTTTATGACAAAAAGCAGACAAATTGAATATATAACATGAGATCAGGCCCAAGGCAATTTTAATAGCAAGAAAGTCATTGAGGTTTATTTAGATGAGTGTATTCTTTATGTAATAGAGCCAAATACAAGGTATTTTTCATTTCATACCCATTTCTTAAGATATAAGAGATGTAAATAAGCCCTTTATCCAGAAAAAATAAATATTAATATGGGATGATTATTTTTAACACTGAAAATTTTTTCAAATTTCTGTTTTCCCATTTATTTTGAAACAGTAACTAGTACGAAACAAAATGGGGAAAGTGCTGGCATCTTGACACCGTGGATCCCGAGGACCCCAGGGAAGGTAACCTGGGCCGGAGCGCCCCGGGGCTGCCTGTGCTTCTGTCCCCGCCGCCGAACCCACCGACGTCTCACAGGGCCGCCGTCACCACGTCCCAGGCCTTTCTCAAATAGCCATTGACTGTCCTGAGCCTCCACCTGTCTCTCTCTTCAGCATCCCCTCAGGGCAATGACACCGGACCCCCAACTTCCACACGTCATAAACACACCCCACGCACGCCGGGTCCCCGCAGAGCAGCCGTCTGACCCCTCCTTCTCTCCAGAGCCCCGTTCTGTGAGAAACAGGCCCCATCCTGGCGCCAGCAACAGCGTCCACTCAGCCTTTATCGACCCGGAACTGCTCCCCACATGCGGAGACACTGCAGAGATGAGAACATCTTTTGTATAGCCAGGTGGACAAGAACCTTCACCACTACCCTACAGGAGAAAGGAAAGTCCTCCCCAGCCAAGCCAGTCAGCACAGCTGCCTTGTGCTCCAGAGGCGAGGGATGGCGCGTGACGACGCACAGCCTTCGGCTGACCAAGCATGTCGTTCCCCTCCCGTGAGGGGGAAGACTAGAAAGAATTTTGTTTGGCGTGTACACAGCAGCCCACATGTACAGCTGTGCCCGTCAGTTAGAGAAGACATGGCCCAAAGCAACTGAGACTTTCTAGATGGTTCCCGCAACAGCCTCCACTTCCCCGACGCCAGCCTCTCAGAGCGGTCGATGCACTAGACGCAGGGGTCCCCGCATGAAGGATCCGATGTCTGGGACACACAAGGACACACTCAACGAAATAAAGGCCATCACGCCTCTCCCAGCAAGGAGTGAAGCCGAGGCCACTTGCAGAGACGCCACAGAGGGAAGCAGCTTCTCCCGGACAAGGGAGAGTCCTAGAATCAAGCCAGGCTGGTTCCAGCTCGCTTCAGCCTTGCCCAGAATATGGGCATGGAGGAAGGTTGTCCAGGCTGGCAGGTAGCTGACCCTCATCATCAGGAAGAGCAGGAGCTGTGGTATCCATCTCTGTCCTCTAATGGCAAGTGGACTAGAGCAGTGGCGAGGGCTTGAGAGGTGCATGGTGAGCTTGACGTGGGGGCCCTTTAGAATCACCTCTTGCAGGAGCTCACAGCAGCAACACTTATCAGAGAGGACTCCAGCGCAAGTTTACCTTGAGCGAAAAACAGGAGGCGTGGACACCCGATGAGAGAGGCCGCGAGGTAGCGAGAGAGGAACGCAGCAGGGCCCCGGGTTACAAGATACGCAGATGAGACCCGGGTATCATGACGCGGGCAGATGCTGTCCCAGGCTGGAGAGGGGGGGATGCGGGCAGGCTCCGGGACAAGCAGCCTCAGGCTCTCCCCAGTGCTCCCCACCTCCTGACTCTGTTTCCGCAGTAGTAAGGCTGACTAGTGGGTCCAAGGAGAAACGCAGAGATGACCATGTGTGAGGTCCAGGACCAGGTCAGAGGACACTGCAGTTCTGCCCGTGCTCTCTGCGGGTGGCCTGACCTGAGGGACATCGGCGGCCACTCTCCCCTCGGACCATCTTCCGGAGGAGCCCAGCGGCCCAGCATGGAGCCTCCTGCCCACAGCCGGCTCTGGCCCGAAGTCCCCACTCCCTCGGTCACCGCGAGGCAGGTCCTCCAGCCAGGGTAAGCTCTCGGCCACTGTCGCCCTGGCTGCCCTCCCCAATGCTACTCCGTGACACTCCCCGAGCAGGGACTGTCCGCCTGAACTGCCCCCCACGTCCTGGCCCAGGAAACCGGCGGTGGATGTGACCAGCTGGCTGTCTTCCTTCAGAAACCTTGAGAACTCCCGCGGTCATCTGAAGCCACTAGGTTTGGGGATGATTTTTTATGTGGGAATATAGTAGCCACACAAGGTCAGAGGAAGAAGGGACCCCCTTAGACAGCACGCCTAAATGTGTGAATTTACTTATTTTAAAAATTTATTTATTTATGCATAGAAGAACTGGGGTGCAGGCCAGAGGTGTGGGGTTGAGAGGATTCACCAGAGAGAGAGTGGGGAGCAGAACAGGCAGATCTACTGAAATCCACTGCTGAGGGAGCAGCGGGATGACAGGAGAGGTCTGCTGCACCATGTGGGTAGCTCCCTGGCCGGGGATCGAACTCATGCTGCAGAGGCTGCAGATAGCTTCACAGTGCTGTGCTTATTAACCCATGGTGCCACCTGGAAGTCCCTAAATTTATGAATTTAGTGACATTAGTGGCATTTGAAAGGGAACAGAATTCCGGCACGTGGAGCCAGAGGAGGCTTCGAGTTACCCTGGCCAACAGGTATCTCCATTTACCCCAGAAGCAAAACTCGATAGTAATATATAAATAAACATACATTATATATATATATATATATATATATATATATATATATATATGGAAAGTGCAGTGAAAAGCGATGACGCTAGAATTACTCTAGAACATGTCATTAAAGAGATAGAAATGAAACCCTCACCAGGCAATCGTGGCCAGTGAGGCTGTGTGTGGAGCTGGGGGTGATGTTAAGTGAAATTAGTCAGAGAGTGAAAGATAAACATCGATGATTTCACTCATCTGTGGAGCATAAATCATCACACACACGCAGGCAGAATGCAGCAGGAATAGTCTCACTTGGTGAGACAAGAAGGGGAGACCAGGGGAGGGAGTTGGGGATGAGGGAGGGCGGCGGAGGGGGGTTGGCACAGCCAGTCTGGCTGAGCCTGAAGGAATAGGTGCACCTGCTGAGGAGCACGACGTAACCTCAAAATCAAAGCTGAAAATAATTCCTCATTGAGGGAGAAAGTCCTTAAATTCAGCTAACAACTGACCCCTGAAAATTCCGGTCGTTCACAGTAGAGTAACACAGACACTTCACCCCTGGTGACCTCTCAAAGCTCTCCACAAACTGTCTGTGCAGGAGCAACTGTGACTTCTGGGAATTTAATAAAACATTTGGTTAGATAAAAATAATTAGGGGAGGAAAGTTACCCCTTGAAATTACTTGAATGTGTCCTCTTAACAACTCTCACTTTAAATCCTTTTAGAGACAGCTGACAAACAATAAATAAATGGAATCTCAGAAACCAGATACACTTTCCTTGCCTGCGTTACCTACTCATTGCCCCACGCGCCACGGAGGAGGAGGAGGCACCCACCACGCTCCCGCCTCAGAAACGCCAGAAACGCCCTCACGCGTCGTAGTTCATTACTTGAGTTAGTCAAGTGAGCGATTTCAGTCACGGGAGAGGCCCCTGATCCGAGCTACTAATTGATAGACTCAACTTTGAGAAATTAAAATAAGCTGCAACAGTTGAATGACCTTCAAAAGTCCTTCCAGCAGCCAGGTTGAAAATCCTGCCGTCAGTCCACTTGCCCATTAGCCGGCGTGGAGTCCATCCCCGACAGCCCCGGCAGGTCCCAGGCAGCTCCTTAACTACCCTGCCCCTTCCCACCGCCTCGGCCCCGCCAGGTCCACCCCGCTGCACCGATATGTCCTCCTGGGCTGCAGGGCGTTGGCACAGCCCCGGCCGGGACACCGCGTTTACCCCACGCGAGATTCCTCGTGGCCGAGTCTCCGCAGGGCTCGCTTCCATCCACCCTGCCAGGGCTTCCCAACAACCGCTACCGCAGGCACCGCCGTGTCCGTGTCACCGCAGCAGGATGAGGTCCTCCCACCCAAGAGGTCCTAGTCCCAGAGGCTGAAGACAAATGAGTAACTCTCTCCTAGTGTAGTGTGTCCACTGGGACAGTTCAGAGCCCCCCCAGGCAGCCTGAGGGGCCAGCGGGAGCGCCAGGACAGCTCCATCCATGTAGACAAGAGATACTGAGCAAACGAAAAGGCTCCCCTTGTTTATAAAG